CTCCTCCTCCTCCTCCTCCTCCTCCTCCTCCTCCTCCTCCTCCTCCTCCTCCTCCGCGCGTGCGGGCCCCGCCTTCGAATCCCCGCCTCCCGCCCGCGCGGGCCCGGCCCCCGCCTCGGGCGGCCCCTCCCGGGGCTGCGCTGGCCCGGCCGCGGGCCGCGCAGCGCCTTCGCCCTCGGCCTGCGCGGCTTCCCCGCGGGCGGCGGGCTCGGCCTCCACAGACCCCCTCGCGCCAGGAAAGAATCACGGCGGGAGGTTTCTCATGATTTTCGGCCTCTAGGGGCCCTTGCCGAGCCTCGGGACCGTCAAAACACGACTCGGGAGGATGAAAAACCTGTCCTGGGGAGTGGGTCCGGACCTCCTGGGGCCGACGTCGGGGGTCTGGGTCCTCGCGGGCCTCCTCGGCTCCCTGCGGCTGCTGGGCCTCCTCGGGACCAGCGCCGTGGGCCTCCTGCTGGGCCCCGGGCACGGCCTCCGCGCCGACCGCGCCCTCCTGGGCCTTGGGCTCCTCCGCGCCCCGCGGCCGCTCCTCGGCCGCGCGCTCTGCCTCCTCCCGGGCCCTGCGCGTCTCCTCCTCCTCCTGCCGCTTCTCGCCCTGCTCCCCAGCTGCACGCTCGGCATCGTTCCTGGCCTGCGCCTCTTCCGGCTCCAACCGCTCGGCCTCCTCCCCGGCCCCGCCCTCTGCCTTCTCCTCCTGGGCCCTGCGCGTCTCCTCCTCCTCTTCCTCCTCCTCCTCCTGGCGCCGCTTCTCGGCCTCTGCCACGGCTGCACGCTCGGCCTCCTCATTGGCCGTCGCGGCTTCCCGCTCGGCCTCCTCCCCGGCCGCGCGCTCTGACTCCTCACGGGGCCTGCGCGTCTCCTCCTCCTCCTGCCGCCGCCTCTCGGCCTCTTCCACGGCTGCACGCTCGGCCTCTTCCTTGGCCTTCTCCCCTTCCCGCTCCAACCGCTCGGCCTCCTCCTCGGCCGCGCGCTCTGCCTCCTCCTGGGCCGCGCGCGTCTCCTCCTCCTCCTGCCGCCCCTTTTCGGCCGCATCTCTGGCCTCAGCCTCCTCCCGCACCAACCGCTCGGCCTTCTCCTCCTCGGCCGCGCGCTCTGCCTCCTCCCGGCCCCTTCGCGTCTCCTCCTCCTCCTGCCGCCGCTTCTCGGCCTCTTCCACGGCTGCACGCTCGGCCTCTTCCCGGGCCTTCTGCCCTTCCCGCTCCAACCGCTCGGCCTCCTCCTCGGCCGCGCGCTCTGCCTCCTCCTGGGCCCTGCGCGTCTCCTCCTCCTGCCGCCGCTTCTCAGCCTCATCTCTGGCCTCAGCCTCCTCCCGCACCAACCGCTCGGCCTCCTCCTCGGCCGCGCGCTCTGCCTCCTCCCGGGCCCTGCGCGTCTCCTCCTCCGGCCGCCGCTTCCCGGCCTCTTTCCACGGCTGCACTCTCGGCCTCTGCCTGTCCTTCTGCGCTTCCCGCTCCAACCGCTCGGCCTCCTCCTCGCCAGGCGCTCTGCGCCCTTCCCGGGCCCTCGCGTCCTCTCTCCTCCTGCCGCGCTTCTCGGGCCTCTCCACGGCTGCACTCTCGCCTCCCTTTCCTGCGTTCTGCCTTCTCGCTCCAACCGCTGCCCTCCTCCTCGTCGCGCGCTCTGCCTGCCTCCCTGGCCCTGCGTGTCTCCTCCTCCTGCCGCCGCTTCTCGGCCTCTTCGACGGCTGCACGCTCGGTCTCTTCCCTGGCCTTCTCCCCTTCCCGCTCCAACGGCTCGGCCGCCTCCTCTTGCCGCCGCTTCTCGGCCTCTTCCACGGCTGCACGCTCGGCCTCTGCCCTGGCCTTCTCCCCTTCCCGCTCCAACCGCTCGGCCTCCTCCTCGGCCGCGCGCTCTGCCTCCTCCTGGGCCGCGCGCGTCTCCTCCTCCTGCCGCCGCTTCTTGGCCTCATCTCTGGCCTCAGCCTCCTCCCGCTCTAACCGCTCGGCCTCCTCCTCGGCCGCGCGCTCTGCCTCCTCCCGGGCCCTGCGCGTCTCCTCCTCCTGCCGCCGCTTCTCGGCCTCTTCCACGGCTGCACGCTCGGTCTCTGCCCTAATTTTCTCCCCTTCCCGCTCCAACCGCTCGGCCTCCTCCTCCTCCTCCTGCCGCCGCTTCTCGGCCTCTTCCACGGCTGCACGCTCGGCCTCTGCCCTGGCCTTCTCCCCTTCCCGCTCCAACCGCTCGGCCTCCTCCTCGGCCGCGCGCTCTGCCTCCTCCTGGGCCGCGCGCGTCTCCTCCTCCTGCCGCCGCTTCTCGGCCTCATCTCTGGCCTCAGCCTCCTCCCGCACCAACCGCTCGGCCTCCTCCTCGGCCGCGCGCTCTGCCTCCTCCCGGGCCCTGCGCGTCTCCTCCTCCTCCTCCTCCTGCCGCCGCTTCTCGGCCTCTTCCACGGCTGCACGCTCGGCCTCTGCCCTGTCCTTCTGCGCTTCCCGCTCCAACCGCTCGGCCTCCTCCTCGGCCGCGCGCTCTGCCTCCTCCTGGACCCTGCGCGTCTCCTCCTCCTGCCGAACAACCAGTTGCGTTGTTAGGGCTGGCTGGCTGCACGCCCTCGGTCTACTTCCCTGGCCGTCTCCCTTCCCGCTCCAACGCCTCGGCCTCTCCCCCGGCCGCGCCGCTTCCTGCCTCCTCCCGGGCCCTTGCACGCGTCTCACTCCTCCTGCCGGCCGCTTCTCAGGCCTCTTTCCACGGTCTGCCCGCCGGTCTTTCCGGCCTTCTCCACGTCCCGCTGCACCAAGAGGCCTCGGCCGCCTCCTATTGGCCGGTCGCTTTACTGGGCCTCTACAGTCGAATGACACGGCTCGGCCTCTGCCCTGGCCTTCTCCCCTTCCCGCTCTAACCGCTCGGCCTCCTCCTCGGCCGCGCGCTCTGCCTCCTCCCGGGCCCTGCGCGTCTCCTCCTCCTGCCGCCGCTTCTCGGCCTCTTCCACGGCTGCACGCTCGGTCTCTTCCCTGGCCTTCTCCCCTTCCCGCTCCAACGGCTCGGCCGCCTCCTCTTGCCGCCGCTTCTCGGCCTCTTCGACGGCTGCACGCTCGGCCTCTGCCCTGGCCTTCTCCCCTTCCCGCTCCAACCGCTCGGCCTCCTCCTCGGCCGCGCGCTCTGCCTCCTCCTGGGCCCTGCGCGTCTCCTCCTCCTCCTCCTGCCGCCGCTTCTCGGCCGCATCTCTGGCCTCAGCCTCCTCCCGCTCCAACCGCTCGGCCTTCTTCTCCTCGGCCGCGCGCTCTGCCTCCTCCTGGGCCGCGCGCGTCTCCTCCTCCTGCCGCCGCTTCTCGGCCTCTTCCACGGCTGCACGCTCGGCCTCTTCCCTGGCCTTCTCCCCTTCCCGCTCCAACCGCTCGGCCTCCTCCTCGACCGCGCGCTCTGCCTCCTCCCGGGCCCTGCGCGTCTCCTCCTCCTGCCGCCGCCGCTTCTCGGCCTCATCTCTGGCCTCAGCCTCCTCCCGCTCCAACCGCTCGACCTCCTCCTCGGCCGCGCGCTCTGCCTCCTCCCGGGCCCTGCGCGTCTCCTCCTCCTCCTCCTGCCGCCGCTTCTCGGCCTCTTCCACGGCTGCACGCTCGGTCTCTGCCCTAATTTTCTCCCCTTCCCGCTCCAACCGCTCGGCCTCCTCCTCCTCCTCCTGCCGCCGCTTCTCGGCCTTCTCCGGCTGCACGCTCGGAACTTCTGCCTGGCCTTCTCCCCTTCCCGCTCCAACCGCTCGGCCTCCTCCTCGGCCGCGCGCTCTGCCTCCTCCCGGGCCCTGCGCGTCTCCTCCTCCTGCCGCCGCTTCTCGGCCTCATCTCTGGCCTCGGCCTCCTCCCGCTCCAACCGCTCGGCCTCCTCCTCGGCCGCGCGCTCTGCCTCCTCCCGGGCCTTGCGCGTCTCCTCCTCCTCCTGCCGCCGCTTCTCGGCCTCTTCCACGGCTGCACGCTCGGCCTCTGCCCTGGCCTTCTCCCCTTCCCGCTCCAACAGCTCGGCCGCCTCCTCCTGCCGCCGCTGCTCGGCCTCCTCTTCGGGGGCCTTGGCCCGCGCCTCTCGCTGCGGCTGCGCGGCCTCTGCTCCGCAGGCCTGCTCGGCGGACTCCCCGACCGCCTGCAGCAGCCCGTCGGCGTCTGCCGCCCTCCGCTGCTCCTGCTGCAACCCCAAGACTTAAGTCGGACGTGTCCCTCTTCAGGGGGAATGCTCAACAATAGTCAAAAAATAATCAGGAGACAACTTTGGACTATGTCTGAGCCTTTGGGGGGTATTGTTTGAATATCTGTTCCTTTTCGCCGGAAATCCCCCTGTAAGGGGGACACGCCCGACTTAACCCAACACCCGACGTTGCGAAAACGAACGGAAGCGTCGCAGACAAATCGCGCCCAGAGCCATGGGCCCCATCTTTTTAGATCATGCTTCAAGCCAGATCAATATGTGAGGGTCCTGGGGCCCGAAACTGGGCGAACAAGGCCGTTGTGCAAGAATTGCAACGCCCAGATCTGAAGGAAAGCAAAGGTCGTCTCCAGCCCCCCGGTGTAATGATTCTCTCAGGACGTCGACCCCCAAATGTCTCGACCCATTCCCCGGAATCGTTTTTTCATCTGTAATATTTTTGTTTACGGTCCCGAGGCCCAGCGAGGGCCTCCAGAGGCCGAACATTGCGAAGCACCTGCCGCCGTGACGTTTTCATGTGGGACGCGCAAACACATACTCTCCCTAGACATCCTCCTTGGAGGCGTGCGCCCGACCCGACCAGATAGTATAACGTAGCACCCCAAAGTTGCGGATACAGTGAGGGGGCGGCGGGGACGTCGGCAGCCTGCGAGGCTCTGAAGAAGCCCGCCGCAGGCGCATTCTTTTGCAAGCTATATAACGAGCCCGCCGCAGGCTCCGATTTTTTTAACAACGTGGGTGGGTCGCGGGGTGGGTCGCAAGTGGGCCGCGGGTGGGTCGACGGCGGGACGCGGGTGGGTCGCAGGCCGTGTCGCGGGTGGCTTGCGGGTGGCTCGCGGATGGGTCGCGGGTAGGTCGCGAACGGGTCACGGGGTGGGTCGCGGGGTGGGTCGCGGGTAAGCCGCGGGGGTGGGTCGCGGGTGGGTGAGGGGTGGGCGCGGGTGGGTCGCAGGCCGGGTCGCGGGGGCGACGACGCAACAAACAGAATCCTCGCCGTGGAGCCCCACTTCAGCCACGCACCCAGGGACAGTGAATGATCGTTCGGCCCCCTCACTCTGGGTCGCGGGGTGGGTCGCGTGTGGGTCGTGGGGTGAGTCGCGGAGTGGATCGCGGGGTGGTCGCGGGGGTGGGTCGCGGGGTGGGTCGCGGGGGTGGGTCGCGGAGTGGGTCGCGGAGTGGGTCGCGGAGTGGGTCGCGGGTGGCTCGCGGGGTGGGTCGCGGGTGGGTCGCGGGGTGGGTCGCGAGGTGGGTCGCGGGGTGGGTCGCGGGTGGGACGACGACAACAAACAAACAACAACGCAACAGCGCAAGAAGCATCATCCTCACCACGGATCCCCGCTACAGCCACGCATCCAAGGACAACGAATGACCGTTCGGCCCCCTCACTCTGACAATATTGTAGTACATCGTCCCGAGCGGCATGACCAGAAAGCGCCCGCCAGTAAGCGTGCACTATCAGATTTCGCAGTGCGCGCGTCGCCCCTGCGGGGGCGACGCGCACCTAGTATTAGCATATGGCGCCTGATATAACTGTCTGTCGGAAACAATGGGTAGAAACAAGAAGCAGGAAGACGTTGGGAGTAGATTGGGCTTCCGCCCACCTCCTGAAGAGGAGGGAAAAGGCAAAGCCGCGCGACCTTTGAAGTAGGAAGGCGCCTAAAGTAGATTCTAGGATGTGTGCAACCAGAAATGCCTAGCTTTGAAAGACCGGCGTGTAGGTAGGGGCGACGCCGATGATGACTCAAGGGAGGACTAGGAAGAGAAGGAGGAGGAAGAAGAGGAGGAAGAGGAGGAGGGGGAGGAGGGGGAGGAGGGGGAGGAGGATGAGGAGAGAGGGGGAGGAGGAGGGGGAGGAGGAGGAAGAGGAGGAGGAGGAGAAGGAGGAGGAGGAGGCGAGGAGGAGGAGGAGGAGGAGGAGGAGGAAGGAGGGAGGGAGAGGAGGAGGAGGACGAGGAGGACGAGGAGGAGGAGGAGGAGGAGGAGAAGGAGGAGGAGGAGAAGGAGGAGGAGGAGGACGAGGCGAAGGAGGAGGAGGAGGAGGAGGAGGAGGCGGAGGAAGAGGAGGACGCCGAGGAGGCGGAGGAGGAGGAACAGAAGGAGAAGGAGGAGGAGGAGGGGGAGGGGGAGGCGGAGGAGGAGGAGGATCGATCGATCGATCGATCGAGCTCTCGGGCCCGCTCGGTGCTACGCTCGCCTCGAGGACATCGCAGCCTTGCAAGATCAGACTGGCCCAGCTGTGGTTACTTCCCTGAAAAAGGGCTCGCGGGCGTCAGCAGACGCTCGGGCCCATCCTGCCCCGGCTTCCCCCCGCGCAGGGGGCCTGCGGGCAGGGTGGCACACGCGTCACGAGGGCCCTCTCGCTCGCTCCTCCCCGCTCCTGCTCGGACCCCCCGCCCCCTGTTCACCAGCCTCGAACGCATCCCTATCCCTGAGATTGACACGCCGAAAGGCGATGACAATCTTAGCGATGCGCCCTCAAAAAATAAGGGAATCCCCAAGATTGACATCGTGATGAGGAGGTGCCCAGCATAGGGATAGGGATATGTTCCAGGCTGTAACCTGTCCTTTCGCATCGGTTTTTTTAGGGGGGAGGGTCGGCGCACTACAACATACTCCAGAAAATTCTGGCCACGGAGTTGGAAGAGGTCGGGAGTCTCAGACGAAAGAGTAGGGGCTGGGAGTCGGCCTTCCACGACGAGCGTTCGAAATCTCTCGCTCGTTCTGAGTGCCTGCGGCATGGCGCGGGTGGCGGCAGCCTTCAACAAATTGCAGAGACGCACCGATTGCTCACCCTCACTTCGACGGTGTTTCGTCTCCACCTGGGTCGGCCCACGTGGATATGTGATCCCTCCTGCTAGCGTCTCACGAGCCCCCACGGCCAAACGTGAGTGCTGCATCGCAGGAGGGTGCCCCTGCACTGCGTCCCGTCCCTCTCTGTCCTCTGGCGCTGCCGGCGTCCCGCGATCCCCTGCTGCTGGCCGCTGATCGGGCGACCCAGCCCCCGCTCCTAGGCTCCCCTCGGTGCCGATCCCAGGTCCCAGCTTGTGAACTGCTCCTTCCTTGCGCGGCTGCTTCGCGATGGTCGTCTCCAGCCTGTAATGCGACGCCTTGACCTGGAACCGAACTCTGCACCTCTCTTGAGCGCCCCCTTCCTTTCCCCTGTTCTTGCGGACCCTGCAGAGCGGGGTGCTGTCAGCGACCTGCTCCACGCTTCCAGTCAAGATTATGTCCTGGTAGTACTTCTCTATGAGGTCTCTCTCTCTCTCTCTGTTCATTGCTCCATCGTGCGCCCCATGTAGCTCGCCGCGCCGGTCCACGCTCGGATATGTGGGCTGCCAAAAGATGCCGCGTCCATGTGCTCTCCCTGATCTGCGCGTCGTCGGAAGTCTTGGGCTGCGTCGTTGTGCCCTCGTCCAGGATCCAGCGCTACTTTGGGAGACCCCGCTGTTTGCGTCGATCGTCCACATCTGCATGACCGCCGCCGCTAACACCGCCTGCCCCCTGGCCAATGTGAGGGTGAGGCGCGCCGTAAGGTCTACCACCTGCGCGTTGGGCGCTGCTCCTCCTGCCGCTTCTGCTGCTACGCCTCCAGGTGGGCGTCGCGGCTGTCGGCTGCGTTCTGGTCTCGGCGGTCCTCCTGGCGCTGGCACCGCTGGCGCCCGCTGCGGGCGCTGCTCGAAGAGCGCCATATTCCCTGGGAGGCTGCAGGATTGGTCTCGGCATGTGCCCCCAAAGATGCTGGAAGAAGAAGGAACCCCTGTCTAAGGCGAAGTGGCTGCATATCGGACACTTAGTTAGTGGTTTCGCCGGTAGGCTCTGATTTCCCGTTCTGTCTGGGTTACCTTTCCCTGTTCGCATACTTATTGCGAGATGTTTCTTAGATGTTCCCGGAATCGTGAACGCCCGGTGGCAATTGACGCACTCGTGTTTCTTGTGGTAGGGAAAGCTGTTAAATTATGCACATGGTGACTTCTGAGGATGCGGCTGCGTAGCGCTGTCTTGCTTGAGAAGAGTAGTCCACGCTCCGTTTGCCCGCCCCTGAATTCGCATTTCCAAGGTTGAAAGTTCCGTAGGGCGAGTTCTTCTCGTAGTTCGTCGTTCTGTGCGCGTCATTGAGGGGGGGGGTCGCCGCCGTCAGTCTAGCTGCTCTAACTTCTCGGACACCTAGTAGGTGAAGCTGTTCCCTAGTAGCGAGCGTGAACATTTTCCCGATCGCGACCTCCTCCCCGAATATGGATCTGAAGCTCTCCGAAACTTGGCAGGCACTCTGCGCCCTCCACGGCTCTGCGGGTCCAGGGGTTCGTGTTCGTCGTCTGCTCGTTCGCGTCACTCTCATCGCCGTCGTCGTCGCGATCGAATTTGATGCGCCCGAACAGGGCAACGATGAGCTGCCTATGGTTGTTCGGGAATCTCAGAATGTTTTTTCGTCCAACCAAGCCTTCGGACCAGCGCTTCCTCCGCTGGGGGCAGCATTTGCCGTCCGCGCGGCGCTTGCCCGCATTGCCAGTCATGGCCTTCTTCAGTAGCGCCCCCATCGCGCTCTGCAGTACCTGGCACTCGTTCGGCGTCGGCATGGAGCACTTGATGCAGGAGAGGCCTGTGTTGATTACCCAGCAGATGAGTACTGCCCGCTTCCATCTATGCGGGATGTCCTGCTTCGTCCAGAAGCCGTCGCACTTGTTGTAACTCTTCCACATGGTCGGGATGTGCTTGTGGAGTTCGCGGTGGTAGCTCTGCGTCGCAGTCGCGCGCGGGCCCAAGCGCTGCGCTGCCTCCACGACTTTGCCCGGCATTTTGCGCTCTGGGTTCTTCCTGATGCCCTTGTGAGCCTGGATGGCCCCTCTCCCCATGAAGTGCATGGTGGCCTCCTGTTTGTCCTGGCTCTGCCTGAGGCCGATCTCACGGAGGCGCGCGTTCAGCGTCTCGTCCGCCTTCTGTGCCTGCTCGACCAGCTGGCGCGCACCTGCGCAGTTCTGACTGAGAA